AAAAAAAAAAAACAAAAATACAAAAATATTTAGCTTTAAGAGGGTTAGGCCTACCCTAAAATTAAGGAACGCTCGACCTCGACACGTGATATCGAGATGGGCGAAATCGCCTCTTGATATCACTAACTCTCCTGACTCCTGACTCCCTTTCATGGCTGAATTAAGAAAGCAAATAACTAGGACATTTTTTCACCGCTTTTTCTATTGAACAGGTCTAGCTAAAGAAAGAGCTCGCAGAAAATTTCACATATTTATTAATCTATTCAAAAACTGAATTTTTTAAATTACAAGAATCATCATCCGAAAATAATGAATTGTTCACTCATGGCCATTGTTCACTCTAGGAGAGTCCCTAAAACTTTGCCTTTGTCTCAATTTTATCCATTCACTATTGTCGCGCCTTCGGTGCTCCATTCCAAGGATAGTGATTCATTCAATAATTTATTTTCAAAGTGGCAAAAACCTATTAAAAGTATGTGCCCATCAGAATTTGTATCGAGAGAGAACAAACCGATAGTTTCATAGGAATAATTACTCACATTGTTTCTTGGGTCCCTAACTTCAAATCTCTTCATAATCTGCCCTGAGGGTCATATTTGAAATGTAGGACATATACTCAGCAATCGAACAGGTACTTCTGCTCCAAGTTTCAACTTTCTTTAGTTCTTTCCTTCATTGAATCATAAAAGTTTCCGGACCTTTTGCAAAAATGTGCCCTCAGGGGAGTTGCCTAAAAATTAACATTTTTACTGAAATCAGTACTCGGAGAACTACGTGCATGCCAAGTTTCAGCCTTATCCGTTTGCTCTTTTTGCTGGTTCAAAAATATATTTGGAAAAACCGACACAGCCAAAAGCTGTGCCCCCGGGGTATGCACCACAAAGCTTGAATTTTTTATGGACTCACCACCTCAGTTATTGTTATGCCAATTTTCACATTTATATCACTGCACAATTCATTTGGAGGAAAAAAAAAATTAATTGAAAACGTCACCCCCAAAAATATGCCCCCAGAACATGTATCCAAAACCTGACATTTTTCCTGAATTTAGAGTCGCAGTTTGTCCATGTCACATTTCAGCTTTCCATGTTTATCCATTTGACTGAATCAAAAAAATATTTGAAAATATCTCCCCATGAAATTTGTGCCCCCAGGGCATGTACCTCCAAAGTTGGATTTTTTCTGAATTCAGGTTCTCAACATGTACTTATGTATCAAGTAACCTCTCTAGAAATTGGTTAGAATTAGTGTCAGTCAGTCAGTCAGTCACGATCATATATATATATTATATTCTTGCAGCATGTGGGCATATTTTTTCCCTTTTCCAAAAAAGGAAAGAAATTCTTACTTTTTCGTTGAAAATTTAATTTCATAAAAAATAAAAAAATATTAGGTCCCAACTATTATTTTTAATCCAACTTGCCTGAACTACAACCTATTTGAACGAGTGGTGCATCACCGAAGAGCCCTTTTATAGAGCTAATAGGCGATACCATAATAAAACAGGTTTTGCTCAATGGTAACTGCGAGAGCACTCTCAAAAGATATGATCCTTGTAATGATCATACGCCATGAAAGGGTTAATATCACAGAGATGTCTGCTGTGCTTGGTTCCTTGTGTCCAGTCATGAAAGTCAATCTGTAGTAGTATAGGAATCGTAAAATTTGAAAATGGTGTAATGGCTGAGCTATATTACCCTCCCCCCCCCCCACTATGAAAAGAAGGTTAAAAAAAAGTGTCATTACATGTGAAATCAACTCAACCATTTACCTGATCCCCTCTGATTTTGATTAAATGTTGTGGATTCATAGAGTCCATTAAGACTCTAATCCACACCTTATTTCAGCTTCCTAGGCCAAGTGCTTTTTGCAGTACTGCGATTTGGATATTGCTTAGAAAAAAAGTGCCGATTTTTGATTCAGTGGTCATCACTTGAGTGCTCATGGGTTTTTTCATAACTAGCGTAGAGAAATGAAATTAGTGTCATTTTCAAGCACTTTTCATCAAGCACAATTCACTTCTTACATGATATACGTTTCATAATATTTTAATGAAAGGAAAGGTCTAAAGGTTTGACCTTTTCACCTTTACTTGGTCAATCTTTTTGTCCCGTAATTTCCATGTTTATTGTATTGTTGTTTCATTGGTTTTCTTTGAACAAATATTTGAAAAGACAGCAGAGACTCGAAAGAGCTCGATCCCGCAAGCAGAGAAAATATCCCTTGGCAGATATAATCAGATAAAGATATAATTAGGTTTTCAGTCGTTTCCGGTTAAATCCCTGTTGAACGTTTAGCATGAAAGAGCCTTATTACCAGCTCTCCATCATGGCTATGAAAATTCTCCCATTTGCCATATCTACCAGAGCGAAACTTAGTTTTCTTCAGTTGTTGCAATCAAGATGAAGT